CACAGCAATACTGTAGCCTACCCATACTGTCACATACAGGTTACTGGTCTAGCATGCTTGGCTATTGAATGAGCGATTGGTTAATGGTAGCTTTCTATTTGTTGTGTAGCAAGAATAATTTAAACCAGTTACGTCCAAAAATTTGATGTCCTGAAATATGATTATGATTTAGGCCTATATAATAAAAGCTTAAAGCTACAGTCTGGGATCCGGTCATTTCAATTATAAATGTACACCAAGGTAATTCTTTGTCATGCCTCATTTTAGGAGGATCAGATGGTGACAGGGGTCTCAGCAGGGTCAGGCAGCCAGGGAAGACCAGTCTGTGATGGAGGTGTGGTGAATTTTTGCAGATACAACGCTTTCTTTTCTCTGTGCAGAAAACACTGCACAAGCCAGATGCTATTTTAAGGCAGTCTGACAAACCTCCAAAGTTGATTTCCAAACTGTATCAAGGGTTGATAGAGGCTTTTCTCAATGACACAAAACAGGTAAAACAAAAATGTGAGGGGGACCTTATAGAAGCTATTGATGATGATGAATGGAAACATATGTTTGAATGCCCAGTCATGTTCATGTCATCTCAGACATAAATTACTGCAGTTTAAGACCATCCATAGAACGTACTACTGTATATGCCAGTGAAACTGAATTACATGCACTCAGAAATGTCATTCCTCTGCTAGAGGCTGGCTGAATACTGGCGAAGAGTATGTTCATTTGTCTCAGCATGTCTACAGATTCTCCATTCTCCCTGTTGTTGTTTGCTTGGAAATGTTAATACTGGAGACTTATCCGAAGAAACTGTGTAACCAAGCATTTATAGCGGCTAAGAAATGCATTGCCATTAATTGGAAGGTTGGTTATCCTCCCACAATGTCAAGTTATGTATCACTAGATTTGATTTATTACAAGATCAGGGGTATACTGGGCAACTTTCATAAGGCCTGGATGCCTTATTTGGAATACAGTACGACTAAAGGAGTCTGTATTGAAAACATGCCCACGTCTGGGGAGATCCCTATTTAGGAAATCCCTCGCTGCTGGACTGCTCAGTCATGGTCCTGCCATCCTGTGGGTTGTCACTCTGGCCTTCGCCTAACACACCGAAACCAATAATGAATGTTTCACTAAGATCCTGAAGCTGAGTGAGGTGTGTTGGGTTGGGGCGCTGCAGGGTGGTGGACGCCTGGGGACTGGACAGGGCGACACATCTATATTGCGGGCAAGTAAAAAGAGCTCTACAGTACTATGAGATTAATTATATGGAGGATTTGCTTTTTCTGTGTGTTAATGTATATTTGAGGTGTCTGTAGGTTTTGATTTTTGTTTCAAAAAACCTTCCCTTGGGAATTAAAAAAATGTATGTTGTAAACTGGGAAGGAAATTGTGTTGGGAGAGAGTTGAGTTATTGACTAGACTGGTGGGGGTCTGGCGTGCAAGCGGCTCGGGCTGGCTGGTCGGTCCGGCTGAAATTTGATATAGAGGATGTCTTCATAAAGACAATCAAAAGTTTAAAGAGTTGTTCATTTGTTAGGCTATTGGTTAAAGGTGCAACACTATTTATTATTGAATTACCTTTGATCTAGTTCAGTCTTATTAATCACTTAAACATATTTAATAATCTTACCTAGCTTGATGACTGTGGGCATTTTTGCTTAATTTTTGTTCGAAATAGAGACGGCATATTGGATTGTGTAAAAATGCAGGAAATTAGCTTTAGATGCCCAAAACAATGCGGAGGACCCCCCACCAGGTTATGGTCCCCCCACTTCTAAAACCAAAGCGGCACCCCAGTGAGGAAACGTCAGTCATCATCAAGCGTCCTCATTATCTCCCACATCACATCTGCCAAAATGTATAAACTGTCTTCTGATAACCAGACGTGATATTTTAGAACAGAAATAATATTCTTAGTAATTGCATTCTAGTTTTGTAGCTTTCCGTGCTAACATGAAGGACAATTTGCCCAGTCTGTCTGTTCTACCTTCAAAGGCCTCAGGCTACTATCAAAAACCCTTATTTACCCACCCAAAGCCAGCAGCTAACTCTGGGGCATATCCTAACTTCCACTTAAGTCAAATTTTCACTATGTCTCCCATTGTGAAGACTTGACTTAAACGGATTTGCCTCTGTGCTTATAACAGACATAGCAAGTGAAGAACCTCAGTCAACTGCACTTAAGTGAAAGTGTCTTTATTGATACCATTACATAAATCAATAGCAGAAACTAGGCAAAATATAATATATACTGTATATCAAACCACACTGATGATGTGCTAACAGGGACAGGTATGGTTACTTCACACCACTCAGACTCAAATCACACGCTACTACTTATATAGTGCACTACTTTTGACCAGCGCTATACGTGATAGTGCCCTATAAAGGGTGTGATTTCAGATGTGCCGCAGTTGCTATTCAGTCAGTCTGCTGAAGAGAACAGAGGAGAGAGGGCTGTTGGAGAGAACATGATTGGATAGTTGAAAACATTATACAGTTAAGTCTGGTAATGTCTGAATGGATTTAGTGACAGTTTGGGAGTTAGGAAAGAGAGGGTTGATCCTGCGGACTTGTTGTGGGCTGCTCAACTTTGTCATGGAGCTCTGGAGAGACCCCTGGTGGTGAAACTATCTGCACCAAGTTATGTACATAGAAACCAGAGGAATCGTTCATCACTGTCAAATCAAATTTTATTTATCACATGCTTCCTAAACAACAGGTGTAGGCTAACAGTGAAATGCTTACAGGTCCTTCTCCAACAATGCAGAGTTCAAGTTTACTATATAGAGAGAGCGAGAAATGCAGAACTCGTTCAACCTAGGTCCCGATGGATTTTACATAGATTTTATTTTTAAGTAATCCTTTTTCTAATATATTTTCTCTATGGTGCTTTCTTCCTAATGACTTGACTGAAAATCATGTGAAGTTACTTATGAGAAACGTATGAAACACCATGTGAAAATAATGTAATTCTCTAGTCTTTTCAGACATCTGAATGTTGATAGTGACATTGGAGTGAGTTATTGACAAGGTGAAGTATAGTTGAGATGACATAGCCGGAGCAGCCTAGCAAAGTCTACAAAATGACATTGGGGGCAAAGGCATAGATATTGTACATGAACTTGCGAACTCATTAACCAGGTTTCCATCCAACCATTTCATGCGGATTAATTCCCTGACGCATAACAAAAGGTGTCGACCCGGCTGATGGAAACAGGAAATGCCGGTACAATTTTATAAAAACGCTGACAGCCAATTTGTTTGTTCGAAATGGTGGGATCTTTTGGTCTCCAAAATTAATTGTGCAAAAAATGGGGGTGAAACACCTTTATGCGCAAATATTGATATAATAACCATAATATTGAAGTAAACTTGGGAGTCACGCGGTGATATGGTATGTGGTTCTCCCACTACGACTTGGGAAACCATGTAGTTTAAATTAGGCTACAGATTAAATACATTAAGATTAACTTCACAGGGTGGTGAATGTGCAAGGTGATGAGCTTGATGCTCCTTTCCAATAAATATTGAGGGTCTTATTCTGGTGACATGATCGATGCTTGGCTGCAATTTGACAAATAAAATAATATCGCTCTTCTCCATAATAATCTCATCATGTAGGTAGCCTACCCGCACTGTATCTGGGAGCTGTTGGCTAGAGTACACATGTCAAGACCAGAGCGTGCACATTTGCTATATAACGCAACAATGTGTGACAAAACCATTAGTAGAGTTGAAAATGCAATGGAAACCCATTTAACTTGTATTTTTCTATTCGGTACATGGGAATTTAACTGCAAAAGTTATTTTTATGTGCACTACGTCATCACGCGCAGCCTTTTATCATCAATAACTCAGTTTGATGGAAACATCTCTGGTAGGAAAATGCGCAAATTGTTTCATGCAGATTTTAGAATACTCGCATGAAAATCTGTCGCAAATTGAATGGAAACCTAGCTATTGACATCGATATCAAAAAATAAATATGTTGTATGTTGAACCAAAATTCATGGCCAAGCTCTCGTGAATGGTGGTTGTACCCTTGAATGTAATTTCCAAACAGTTAAAAAATGATTGTTTTTTTGTACCTTTACATTAGAGATGCCTTAGGGTGTTGATCTAAGGAAGAATACATAGAATTACAATTATACAGAAACTACCTTAAATATACAAGCACAAAGACACACAAAAACATAAGAGGAAAAAGCACACAAAATGATTCTTAATACAAACAAATAGCATTTTGTGGATCAATATTTAAAAGGATCTTGCAAAGTAGCTTCTTGGTTTGTAGCTTTCAAAAATAGTGATTACAAATTATTGGGAAATGCAAGCCAATACAAAATGTGTTTTCTTATATCTTACAATGCCGTGTCAAAATTGTCTTCAAAAGTTTTCGTAGCATATCGGAGAAGAAAAAAAAGACGTGTCTGTACTGTCTGAGGTGTGGACATGAGGTACTGAGCAGATAAGTAGACAGGGAGTTGGGAAGGGTCTCAACTGGCACTCTATCCTCTAGATCAGTGATTCTCAACTGATGGGTCTCGCGGGAGGTTTTGAATGGGTTGCAAGTGTCTGAGTTAAAAATAAATACATACTCCAGCCTGAAGTTAAACGACAAACAATTATAATGAACCTATATTTAAATAATTTAACCTCTGAACTATTTTTCTTAAACCACAGTATTTTCAATAGAGTTATTAGCAGCACTATTTAGCAAATTCGGTTGATTTTGTGGTCTCAAACAGTGAGCTTAACATTAATCAAGAATATGGTCAAAATTGAATAATTGACAATGAAAAAGGTGGGACTGTTGTTCCCTTGTCATATAATTGGTACACTTACTATCAATATAGCATTCAAAATAGTTTGCATTTTAGCAACAAAAAACACAATGCAAATATTGGACCGCGACAGACAACCTGGTTCAAATTGGGTCCCCAGGCAAAACCAGTTGAGAACCACTGCTCTATATAGTGCACTACTTTTGACCATAGCCCTTTGGGTCATTGTCAAAAGTAGTTCACTACATAGGGAATAGGGTGCCATTTAAGGCTTGGACATTAAAGAGGTGGCTTTTCCCTTCAGGTAAGAATCACTGGGATTCGTTATAACATCATAACCATGTCTGACACTGACAGGCGACATACTGCATCAGGCATAGACAATACAATATTACATAGATGTAGTAATCTTAATGACAATACAAATGATCTAACAGTAATATTTATAGTTATATACCGTAGATTCTCCTCTACCGTCACAGGTTTCTGATGCTTTACAATTTCTTTATATAAGCCATAATAAAAAGAAAATACACCAGCAATTCATAAGAAAAATAGATTGAAGTTAGTGGAAAACAGTCGAAAGAATATTCTGGGGTGTTTTTTTGTTTTATTTGTTTGCTTGTCCGTTTCATTTTTAGAAATTGATATAAAAATAAAAAATGTAAATCAAACTAAAAACATAGAAAATTAAAACCCACTTCTGTATGGCCTGGTGCTCTGGTCCAGGTGGGGAAGTTGGACCTCTCTCCAGTACCTCAGAGTGTCTGTGTGTGTGTGTGTGTGTGTGTGTGTGCGTGAGTGCGCGTGCGAGCGAGAGTTGTGTGTGTATGTGTTGGGTGCGTGTGTGCGTATGTTTTAGGTTTAGCGTAGTGGTTCTCAACTCCCGTCCTCAAGCTCCGGCAGTGTACAGGTTTTTGTTCCAACCAGGTCCTACAAAACAAATAATTTAGTTTTTAAAAACTGAACGTTGGATTTATGCTGTAGTGCACACAATACGTTTTACTCTGCTAAAATCTAAGAGATAATAAATAAAGCTAGGTATTCCTTCCCTGTGAGGTGAGCACAACAGAAATAGAGGTACGTTGTCAAGGCAACAAACCCAGAGACCCGAGGTTGGAACAAGAACCCGCCAATATGTCCGCCAGCAAAATGGCCACCATGGCTAGCACTGTGATCATAAAAGGCCGAACCCAGCTCTGTCTCAAACACTGACCAGTAAGCACAGGCACACACACACTAACAGAACAGAGTCAGGAATATAGCTGATGAGCAAGGGGAGCCAGGAGGAGAAGAGGGCCGGGGTTGACCACCACTGAGCATGTGCGAGAGAGAGCGTGCGTGGGATTCATTTTGCAGCTAGATGAGTAGCGTATCTGGGTGGTGAGTTACGGTTTATGGTTGTGGCTCTACTGTGCGTCGTTCTTGCTGTCCTGGCTGTTGGGCGTCTTGTTGTTGTTCCAGGGGGAGTGTGCGCCCCCCAGAGCGGGGGAGCTACCAAAACTGTCCTCATCCTCCAGGCCCCCCGCTCCGTTGGCCGTGTCGAACTGGCCGTTCTCCAGCCGCGTGATCAGACGCTCATCCTCGTCTCCGAACTCCCCTCCCATCAGAGTGGGCTCGCCCACCATCATCACGTCCTAGAGAGGGACAGCAAGGGCCGGAACATTATCCCCATAACCACGGGGGAGAACCGAGCATGGACGATCCCAAAGGACTTCGAAAATGGGATGGATGGGGCTGGGACTACCGTCGTTACTCGTAATGGTGGATTTTGGGCTAGATGACACCATAATTTTTAAGATTAATATTTTACATAACCTTTAGGTCCTTGAAGGCCTAAAATGATATGGACATTTTAAAATAAAGCTTTTCGGTACCTATGAAAATAAGGATAACTCATGTTTCAGTGTCTGATCTTCAGTGACTGTGTCCATCCATGCTCACCCCACTCACAACCAGACATAGCTCTGGGTTTCAGGCACACAGCCCAAATATTCAACACCATCTACAACAGGCCCAATGCCAGCCTCTGTTCCAGGGATTTGGGTAGTATTGCCCTTCCCCCATTGGTCAGCGGTGGGCAGCCCTGATCCTTGAGTGCTGCATCATGGGGGTTTTCATTCCACCTCGGGTCTCATTGGCTCACTTAACCAACCAATAGCACCTAAGCTGTCTGTGAATTCTAAGTTTTTATAGGCACAGTGGTAGTAGCTGGTTTTAAGTTCGTTGGACGATGAAGCGGATTGAGCGGCATGCCTCTCACCTGCTCTAGGTAAAAGTTACCCCTAACCACAGACCTAGAATCAGATTGGTGCATCTCCACTCCTAACTTTAACATTTAGAGGGGTGATATAGTATCTGATCCAGGACCAGTGGTAATGTCTACCTCCTGTATGTGTGTGACCCATAGGCCAGAGGACCAGGGACTGCCCAGCACTGGCTCATGTCAGACAGGGAGTCTTTGGCATCATAAACATAATACACTTCCACCATTCCCCAATACCCATAGCCTACTTCCCCAATCTGATCCTAAACCCAAAAGGCCCCACCTCCACCCTTCTTCCTCTCAACCCCATATCCTGCCTTCCCCCACCTCCCACAAACCTGCCTTAAACCCCTCCCCCTCAAAGGTTATGTAGATGGGATGCTTACAGGTACCTGTGTGGAGAGAGGGAAGTTGTTAGCAGGACTCTTCTTCTTGCTGTTGTTGTTTCCCCCTCCAGCGCTCATGTTGCTGCCACCAGACATCTTCCTTTTCCTCCGCTTGTTGGGCGCTTGTCTGGCCGGCTCAGCTGGAGAGAGAGCGAGGAGGAGAGGTGTAACAGATCTGCAGTGTGTGTGTGTGTGTTGGGGCTTGTATTACTATCCTCATGGGTACCGGAAATCCCAAAGGTCCCCACAGGGATAGAAAAACAAGGACAAAGGCTATTTTAGGCTCAGGGGTTAGAATTAGGGTTAGGGAAAATAGGATTTTGAATGGAAATAAATGTTAGGTCCCCACAAGGATAGTAAAACATATGCTGTGTGTGTAAGAGAGAGAATCGGATTAATCTGTGCACTTCAGGTGTGATAGGCCAACCAAGCTAAAGGTCTCAATTGTCAAGTAAGGTTACATATCATGCAAGTGTGGTTTACCCGACATTAGGGATGGGCATGAGTAAACGAAGACTCGAACGGACGTCAAAGCTCGATCTTTAACCAGAAATTTAAAAAAAACATATTGTAAAACTATTTGGTGGAATGTCCTTTGTGGCTGCCCGAACGGGCAAGTTAAATGTTTTTTATTGTCTCTTGAATACAACATTACTTTGCTTTAACTCTAGTGTTCTATTTGTGGGACACAACAAAAAAGAAACCAAGCCAAGCATCACACAGTTCTTCTCCCTAAATTCCCTTACCCCTTCGTGTCTCATTCACTCAATTGCATTCCGACCGCTCCCTACCAATGTTCCCTCAATTTTTGGGGGGGCACTGAGCAAATTTCAGGTCTGCTGAGCGCAAACTTCAACATTGTGAAAATTCTGTGCAACTTCTGGAGCCTGTTTACTGTGAACACTGAGGCTGTACCTGCTTTAAGTTACAGTTATCAGTGGCCAAATAGGCTACTGTGGCTAATTGATCATAGTGCAGGCCTACCAGAGAGGCCTACCATCAAAAACAATGGAGAAAATGCATCTCATAACATTTACATTTACATTTTAGTCATTTAGCAGACGCTCTTATCCAGAGCGACTTACAGGAGCAATTAGGGTTAAGTGCCTTGCTCAAGGGCACATTTACGTCATTTAGCAGACGCTCTTATCCAGAGCGACTCACCAATTGGTGCGTTCACCCTATAGCCAGTGGGATAACCACTTTACAATTTTTTTTGGGGGGGGGGGGGGGGGGGGGGGGGGGGGTAGAAGGATTACTTTATCCTATCCCAGGTATTCCTTAAAGAGGTGGGGTTTCAAATGCCTCCGGAAGGTGGTGAGTGACTCCGCTGTCCTGGCGTCGTAAACGCGGAAATAGCTGTTCTTTCATTCAGCCTACAGTAGCAGCCGATGTGTGGTGCTCAGTGTAGGCCTACATTCCATGAGAAATTTGCAAAAACATGTAATCAAATAACATTTTATTGGTCACATACACGTGTTTAGCAGATGTTATTGTGGGTGTAGCGAAATGCTTGTGTTTCTAGCTCCGACAGTACAGTAATATCTAACAAGTAATATCTAACAATTTCACAACATATACCCAATACACACAAATCTAAGGAATGGAATTAAGAATATATAAATACATATATGGAGGAACAATGTCAGAGCGGCATAGACTAAGATACAGTAGAATAGTATAGAATACAGTATATATATATATATATATATATATATATATATACACACACACACACAGTGGAGAGAACAAGTATTTGATACACTGCCGATTTTGCAGGTTTTCCTACTTACAAAGCATGTAGAGGTCTGTAATTTTTATCATAGGTACACTTCAACTGTGAGCAGGGGGACCTTGCGTGCGCTGCAGGATTTTAATCCATGACGGCGTAGTGTGTTACTAATGGTTTTCTTTGAGACTGTGGTCCCAGCTCTCTTCAGGTCATTGACCAGGTCCTGCCGTGTAGTTCTGGGCTGATCCCTCACCTTCCTCATGATCATTGATGCCCCACGAGATGACATCTTGCATGGAGCCCCAGACCGAGGGTGATTGACCGTCATCTTGAACTTCTTACATTTTCTAATAATTGCGCCAACAGTTGTTGCCTTCTCACCAAGCTGCTTGCCTATTGTCCTGTGGCTACATCCCAGCCTTGTGCAGGTCTACAATTTCATCCCTGATGTCCTTACACAGCTCTCTGGTCTTTGTCCATTTGGTCCATTGTGGAGAGGTTGGAGTCTGTTTGATTGAGTGTGTGGACAGGTGTCTTTTATACAGGTAATGAGTTCAAACAGGTGCAGTTAATACAGGTAATGAGTGGAGAACAGGAGGGCTTAAAGAAAAACTAACAGGTCTGTGAGAGACGAAATTCTTACTGGTTGGTAGGTGATCAAATACTTATGTCATGCAATAAAATGCAAATTAATTACTTAAAAATCATACAATGTGATTGAAGTGTACCTATGATAGAAATTACAGACCTCTACATGCTTTGTAAGTAGGAAAACCTGCAAAATCGGCAGTGTATCAAATACTTGTTCTCCCCACTGTGTGTGTGTGTGTGTGTGTGTGTGTGTATATATATATATATATATATATATATACATATACAGTGGGGGAAAAAAGTATTTAGTCAGCCACCAATTGTCCAAGTTCTCCCACTTAAAAAGATGAGAGAGGCCTGTAATTTTCATCATAGGTGCACGTCAACTATGACAGACAAAATGAGGAAAAAAAATCCAGAAAATCACATTGTAGGATTTTTAATGAATTTATTTGCAAATTATGGTGGAAAATAAGTATTTGGTCAATAACAAAAGTTTCTCAATACTTTGTTATATACGGTTTGTTGGCAATGACACAGGTCAAACGTTTTCTGTAAGTCTTCACAAGGTTTTCACACACTGTTGCTGGTATTTTGGCCCATTCCTCCATGCAGATCTCCTCTAGAGCAGTGATGTTTTGGGGCTGGTCGCTGGGCAACACAGACTTTCAACTCCCTCCAAAGATTTTCTATGGGGTTGAGATCTGGAGACTGGCTAGGCCACTACAGGACCTTGAAATGCTTCTTACGAAGCCACTCCTTCGTTGCCCGGGCGGTGTGTTTGGGATCATTGTCATGCTGAAAGACCTAGCCACGTTTCATCTTCAATGCCCTTGCTGATGGAAGGAGGTTTTCACTCAAAATCTCACGATACATGGCCCCATTCATTCTTTCCTTTACACGGATCAGTCGTCCTGGTCCCTTTGCAGAAAAACAGCCCCAAAGCATGATGTTTCCACCCCCATGCTTCACAGTAGGTATGGTGTTCTTTGGATGCAACTCAGCATTCTTTGTACTCCAAACACGACGAGTTGAGTTTTTACCAAAAAGTTCTATTTTGGTTTCATCTGACCATATGACATTCTCCCAATCCTCTTCTAGATCATCCAAATGCACTCTAGAAAACTTCACATGTACTGGCTTAAGCAGGGGGACACGTCTGGCACGACAGGATTTGAGTCCCTGGCGGCGTAGTGTGTTACTGATGGTAGGCTTTGTTACTTTGGTCCCAGCTCTCTGCAGGTCATTCACTAGGTCCCCCCGTGTGGTTCTGGGATTTTTGCTCACCGTTCTTGTGATCATTTTGACCCCACAGCGTGAGATCTTGCGTGGAGCCCCAGATCGAGGGAGATTATCAGTGGTCTTGTATGTCTTCCATTTCCTAATAATTGCTCCCACAGTTGATTTCTTCAAACCAAGCTGCTTACCTATTGCAGATTCAGTCTTCCCAGCCTGGTGCAGGTCTACAATTTTGTTTCTGGTGTCCTTTGACAGCTCTTTGGTCTTGGCCATAGTGGAGTTTGGAGTGTGACTGTTTGAGGTTGTGGACAGGTGTCTTTTATACTGATAACAAGTTCAAACAGGTGCCATTAATACAGGTAACGAGTGGAGGACAGAGGAGCCTCTTAAAGAAGAAGTTACAGGTCTGTGAGAGCCAGAAATCTTGCTTGTTTGTAGGTGACCAAATACTTATTTTCCACCATAATTTGCAAATAAATTCATAAAAAATCCTACAATGTGATTTTCTGGAATTCTTTTTCTCAATTTGTCTGTCATAGTTGACGTGTACCTATGATGAAAATTACAGGCCTCTCTCATCTTTCTAAGTGGGAGAACTTGCACAATTGGTGGCTGACTAAATACTTTTTTTCCCCACTGTACAGCTCAAAAAAATAAAGGGAACACTTAAACAACACATCCTAGATCTGAATGAATGTACTAATCTTATTAAATACTTTTTTCTTTACATAGTTGAATGTGCTGACAACAAAATCACACAAAAATTATCAATGGAAATCAAATTTATCAACCCATGGAGGTCTGGATTTGGAGTCACCCTCAAAATTAAAGTGGAAAACCACACTACAGGCTGATCCAACATTGATGTAATGTCCTTAAAACAAGTCAAAATTAGGCTCAGTAGTGTGTGTGGCCTCCACGTGCCTGTATGACCTCCCTACAATGCCTGGGCGTGCTCCTGATGAGGTGGCGGATGGTCTCCTGAGGGATCTCCTCCCAGACCTGGACTAAAGCATCCGCCAACTCCTGGACAGTCTGTGGTGCAACGTGGCGTTGGTGGATGGAGCGAGACATGATGTCCCAGATGTGCTCAATTGGATTCAGGTCTGGGGAACGGGCGGTCCATAGCATCAATGCCTTCCTCTTGCAGGAACTGCTGACACACTCCAGCCACATGAGGTCTAGCATTGTCTTGCATTAGGAGGAACCCAGGGCCAACCGCACCAGCATATGGTCTCACAAGGGGTCTGAGGATCTCATCTCGGTACCTAATGGCAGTCAGGCTACCTCTGGCGAGCAAATGGAGGGCTGTGAGGCCCCCCAAAGAAATGCCACCCCACACCATGACTGACCCACCGCCAAACCGGTCATGCTGGAGGATGTTGCAGGCAGCAGAACGTTCTCCACGGCGTCTCCAGACTCTGTCACATCTGTCACGTGCTCAGTGTGAACCTGCTTTCATCTGTGAAGAGCACAGGGCGCCAGTGGCGAATTTGCCAATCTTGGTGTTCTCTGGCAAATGCCAAACGTCCTGCACGGTGTTGGGCTGTAAGCACAACCCCCACCTGTGGATGTCGGGCCCTCAT